TGGACTTCTTCATCCCCTTTTTTGGTACCTGCCTCTGCAAAAACAGGATATTGCCGTGAAACTCAGCAGAGATCAAGAGAAGGGAGAAAATGTATGACTTACAGGTACCTCCCAGTTCCCAACCCTTTGCGGTGTGCAGCATTGGACCTGGAGAACAGGAATTCAGTGAAGCCAAAGAGTCCTCTTAAAGAACTGTGGAAAATCACTCAAAGGATCCCTTCAGTGCAGTCCCTGCTTGGTATAGACTGAAACCCAGTGTAGACCTGAAGCTGTTCCCTCTAGCTCAGCTCTGGAGTTCACTGGAAATGAACAGGCTGAGCATGCATGCTGGGCTCACTGCTCACTCCCTGCAGGTCTCACCTCCTGTGGCTCCCTGAGCAGTGGGCACAGCTCCAGAGTTGTGTCCAGGGTGCACATCTCACGGGTGGCATACCCGTGCACGCAATAGGCATCGTAGCTGGCCCCAATCAGCATGGAGCACAGCAGCACACTGAAGTCAAAGCAGTTCCCTCGCTGGTATTTCAGGATGGTGGTTGGGGAGTAGAGTGAGGTGGGCTGGAAAGAGAGAGATGCATGTTTGCAGTGCTTGTCTTGTGAAGCTGAAACATACACCAAGCAGAGAGCAGTACAGAGAGGCACTGCCCATATCCCTGGGCTCTGCACCCATATGGAATCTGTTATATAAAACTTCTATATAAGCCACAGACCCCAAAACTCCCTGCCAAAGTGATCTGGGGAAATATGACCCCAAATCTGGTGACAAATTTAACCGTAGGGAGAGACAGGCAGGACAAGCTTGCCAAACAGCTGAAAATCTAATGCTAATCACAACTTCTATCTCTAGCTGGTCTGTCTGCAGCATTTCAAAGCAAATGATCCATAAACTAAATTATAGTTCAAAGGAAGGAACATATTCCCTTCCGGCCCTCACCAGTGAACAAGAAAGGGATCAATATGGACATACTGCATATAGAGAGGTTCTACGTAGTCTACTCCCAGATCCCAGATATCACCTTAGTGATGTCTAAGATGTCTTAGTGATGCCAGTCTAGAAATCTCCTTTCAGCCACCCCAAAATATCCCCAAAACTGGGATAGAAATGTCCAAGTCCCTAAGAATGGGTCACTAAGGTCAAGCATCATCCTCCAGGCTTTATATACTCCTTTGTTCCAAGGGATCTTGGTCTCTGGAGAGGAAGCCTGTCAGCCATTGCAACTCACAGCAGGGTTGACTGAGAGCAGAGTCAGGCCCAGTCTTGTAGATATGGTACTTAATTGCTTGATAGGTACAACACTGTACGAGTACTGAGATTACAGGTCCAAAGAGAGTGCATAGGGCCTGGGAAAATCTGGAGGTTGCCTAAGTAATGAGGGGATGATGGAGGGGTCAGAGACCTTTGTAATCCCAGCCAGTGGGGTTTTCACATTGTGTCCTGCCTAGAGGCCCTTCGGCCACCTCCATTATGGGGCAGTTTCTGATGGGACTACAGCACCTTTCTTACCGGTATGATAGGGGACTTGAGGAGCTCCATGGTGAGATAATCAGAGATGAAGCTAGCACAGCCATCCCACTGGTACAGCTCTGGGTAAGGCAGCAGGGTGGGCCTCACCGTTGTGCTCACAAACTTCTGTAGGGCAACAAGAGGACTTTGGTTAGCCAACAGATGCATGGCAGAGTGTCTTGTCCAAAGCCATCCTCTCTGACTGGATGTGGCAGCTCACATTCAGGACCTCTCTAGAGCACGTCAACAGCATCAGTAACCCTCCTCACCTGTTCTGAGCTGGAAATTGCATGGGGTTGAGAGGCTGTCTGCTTGTCTGTGGCTAAAACTTCAAGCTCAAGCAAAACAAATAGCTGCTGCCCTTTCCAGCTTTTATGTCCTCCAGCATTTTTTGCCTTGTATGTTAATGATATAGTAAATGTTGGGGAAAGCTGGTGCAAAGTAGCAATTCCAGATGTCTGGGGGAGCATCAGGTCCAGAACTAGACAACAGTTGTGCAGCTTGGGCCTAGTCCTAAACAAAACCAGACCACAAACCTCCACATTTACTTCCTTCCCTGTAACTTCTACAAAGTTCAGAAAAGACCTAACTCTGGATCCAGACTCTGTATCTGTCACTGAGCCTGAGCCTTATCTATTTCATGTGTTTCTTTCCTATATGTTTCTGTGATCTTTCCTGTTTCCCAAGTGTCATGCTGCAGGGCTGTGAGCTGTCTGCAGCCGACATGGCACCACCACCATGGCTTTGTGGCTTTGGCCAGCCAGGGTGTTTCCAGGGTGTTGTGTGCCTGCTCAGGGAGCTGTAGGCACTGCAAGCAGGTTCCCATCACCTTTGGCCAGGAGGAGGGCGGGAAGGACTGCTGTCCTTCCCCAGCACTTGGCAATAGCAAAGCCAAGTGCCCCCTGCGCTGTGGCCCACCCCCACACCACCCCATACCTCCAAGCCACACTCGTTGACTGGGTGGAGGAAGAGCAGCTTGCGGTCAGGGCAGAGGTGAGTGTATTGCCAGAGGAAATGGTCAGCAACACGCAGCAACTTCTTTTCCTTCAGGGAATTTGTCTTGTATGAAGATGGTAACTGGGATGTGTCAATGGAGCTCCAGTCAAAATCACTTCCAGGGCAAGAGGAGGCAGAGAGACACAGGTAATAAGCCAGGAAACAGTTCAGGCAAGATGACTTGCTATCAAAACACAGCAGGGGCTCCCTGTTTCCCAGGGAAGTAATGGGGGCCATATCCAGGGACATGATTTTGACATAGCCAAGCTTCTCTGGAACAATGGCAAGCTGACATATACCCAGAAGCTCAGGGGATCTTTATACAGTGTTATGATACAATACCAAATGAACATACAATGAAGTGAGTTACCTTGTCTTACTCACACATGCCCAGTCTTGGGCAAACACACTAGGCACGTGAAACTTGCTCACTCCCCGCCCTGTGCAAGGGCACCACAGGTGCCATCCACATGTGTGCAATCTCCCCATGAACAAAGCGTCTCCACTCATCACAGTAACTGGCGGGACTTACGGGACATCACTTGGGACACAGACTTGCTTTGCAGACACCTTCATATCCACATCCTGGAGGTTATCACTGATTGTCAAACCCTTCAGCTTTTCTCTTTGCGCCTCTTCTTCCTTCTCCTCCAGGATCTCCATTCCGCCTCCTCCTGGGCACTATAGTAATGGATACACCAGTGTGAATTCAGGGATGGGACTCAGATATACAGCAACAGAGAAAACATATTCTAGCCATAGTGATTTAGTATGTGAGCATGTCTGAGGCAGCCAGCAGCCTGACAATAAAGAGAGAGCACTAAATCTGAGTTTGACCTGGCCTTGGTAAATAAGTGGTTGGATGTTCCTGGATTCCCCGAGTGTGGGGGTAGAACAGGGGCAGACTGGCTTGGTAGGGCACAGCACATCCCCACATTCAGTCTCAGATCATGGTGCGTCCCCCATTTCCTGTGCCCGTGTAAACGTGGCATCCCCCATCCCGCCTGGGTGCTGCCGGCTGGGAAGCAGCTCTAGGAAGCAGCTCTGGAAATCTGCCAGGCACTGCCAAAGGCCCAGGTCTGGCCAGCCCCACAGGGGCCTTGAGGTGGAGGGGCCACGTTTTGCATCTGAGTCAGCAGCCTCCAAGGCCAGGGGGCTGTTTATATTATTAATTTACATCTCAGGGAGGTCACGGGCTGTTTGTTTCCCCCTCCCTGCGGTCAGGCTGACCCCGTGAGGAGCAGACAAGAAGACGCAGACCGTGACTTGGGGGAGGAGGGGGGGGAAGCGGCGTCCCGGGTCCCAGCACTGGCCTCGGCACCACCCAGAGAGCCTCCCGTCCCGCCGCCCCCCAGCCCCGCGGCTCTCAGGGACA